ACAACATATTAAGGGCAACAAAGGCGGGTAAAACTATGTCCATCGGGCCAATCACCTTCTATCCTGGCGTGGGTAGCGACACGATTGGCTTGTGACTCAGTGGCTGGCTGCAGCTTGAATTTTAAATTATTGATTGATTGATTGACTGCCAGTTGTGTTCGACGCGTGTAGGCCGATCGATAGCCTGCCGTGAGCGCGGCTTGCTACCTGTAGGTTAGCTGCCTGCTAGCTGTTCGTTAGACTCCTCCTAACACAGTCTCCCTTGTCTTGGTCGGTAAAGCTATTCTGCCTATCATGCTGCTGGTTGGGCTTGAGATTTAGTCCCAAGGCAAAAAGAGCGAATATGCTCTGTAACGAGATCGGTGAGTTCCCTACTATATGTAGACTCACCGGGAAATTAAAGTAAAACTCGTTAATTTTCAAGTTTCTCAAATAGTTTGTCGTCAGACTGAGCTAAAAGTTATGCCACTTACTAGAAGATAAATGTGAATAACGGAGTTGATGACACTTAGGGCAAACCCGAAAACCCTGAAGAAAGATGACGAGGTGAAAATTGAGTCCCACAGAATAACAACGAAGTACCTATTCAACAAACGGACAGCACTATAAGAAGGTTCCCAGGGGAAATAACAACCTTGATGATTGCTTTTAGGAGGGAGAACCAGGGCACGACAGTAGGCAGATCCGAGGACGGCGGCGTGAGCAGTTTGGTTGCTGCCTCAGAAAGATGAATCTGGTTGGTAGTATCACCGCTGCGAAGACGGTGGGGCTGTAACAGACCACGAAGCACAGTGTTTGCCCTCAGGAGGCGATCCCCAAGATCGAAACTAGCTACAGTGTTACACCATTCGGGACCGCAGAGCGCCAAACTCAAGGCAAGGCGTCTGATTTGTTCGATTCTGTGGGAATCCTGAGACTGATGAGGGTCAGGCTTCAAACGTCTGAGGATTGCTCCTGTAAAAATGGGCCACGAGAAAATGAAGGCAGTTAAAAAGTACATGCAAGGCAGGCTTTTCTTCAGAATTTTGTTCATAACCGATCTGGATTAGAATAAGGCGTTTTCCCCCTCTCGACAGAACGACAAACACTTATCAGCAAAGGCTAGGCGGCGGCTGTGTCACGCTTTCTATTTCAGAAATAAAGGAAAATTGAGGTGAATATTCGTAATCCAGGTGTAGGTATGTTAATACATCGCAGTCTCATCGATAGCGACTGCCTTTGTGATTGTCTTCTGTAATTAAAGAGTATGAAGGCTGTTCGTTCATCGGAATCATGCTTTTCTTCATTTGAGTTACCGACCTTCTACAAGAGTGCATCGACAGGGCTAAAAGCGACAACAAAACTAGCAACAGTTGTAGTGAGTAGGGGCCAATCACGAACAGCAGTAAGACCAGTCCAAATGTGGCAGCACAGGGCTCTCTATGCCGGCGCCAGATCAATAAATCGATTGACTGGGTTCTCATCGGAGGCCCAGGCTTTTCTTGTCTGGGTGTGGACAGGCATGCCATAGTTGCTAGTTCGGGTTTGGCCCTCCGGGAGCGAGCACGTAAGTATCGTCTTAGGAACGCCTTCTGTTCGCGAAGATAGCAAGCAGTACGGGTATCTTCTTCCGGGCTGCTGCTGCAAGTCTGCATTCGTTTGAATTGTGTTCGTTTCATTTGCGAGCCACCAAATTGTTGCTGTGAGAAGTGGGAAATAGGATGATGTTTATAGCCTTCCTGTACACAGTTGTTTGAATTTCACCGTTGGAAATTCGTCTGAGAAACATCTCAAAAAAGGCAGCTGTTGCTCTTTCTTCTTCTTCCCTCGTGGTTGAGCCATATATCAAGGGTATGAGACGCAACCGAGTGCATTGCCGCGGGACCATGCGTCAGAATTGCACACCGGATAATAGTTACCATGCGCAGCAGGCTCATCAATATCACGAACCAATTAAATCCCAGTACGCAGTTGCGTGTACTTCATCACATTGCGTGTCCAAACTGTACTTTTAACTACACAGGTCAGAGTGGATACTCAAATGGAATTACTCATTGAACTAGTAAACAGTCAGGTGTGTTATAACGTATACCGTGCCTTAACTGTCCTCGCAATTACGCAGGACAGACTCGGCGCATAATCAGGCCGCACATACGGGAACTCAAGCCGGCTGGGAAATGGGGTGGCGCATTATCACAAGTGGCTGTCCACACCTACAAAACGGGTCAGGAGTTTAGCTTCGCAGCCAGGAGGATAATCGCTCAAGCCAGAAGCAAGACAAGCCGAGAATTTATTAAAAACTGGGCCTCTGATGTGAACTCAGCCAATCGGTTTATTGATCTAGCGCCGGCGCACAGGGTCCTGCGTTCTTATCTTTTCACCGGCGTTACTAATGTTTGACTGGCTGCAACCCAAAAACTCGGATGAATAAAAACGTGGTTCCTGTGAAAGAACGGCCTTTATATTCTTTACTTAGAGAGGAAAATCACAAAAACAGTCGCCATCAATGCGACTGCGATCTATTAAGATTATCAAAAAAGACAGAAAGCTAGCTTGTACAGGACCTTAGCCTTCAAGGACATGAAAAAATCAACCAAATACGCGTGAAATCGTCACCCAGGCAATCAAATCGATCTCCTACAAGGTTATAATGCACAAGAATTATAGCTGTCTGTCTTTATTAACAACCAGACGTCTGTCATACTTCTTCCCCAGAACTGAAAGCCAAGTAAATGTTGAGATTAACATTAACATTTGCTCTTTTTCTTGTTTGACGACGAAAGTTGTAGAGACAAAAAACTGCAAGAAAAACGGTTAAACAAAAGAAAATAGCAATAGGTTCTAGCCCCAAAAAGACCGATGCTTCATCCACCGCGCAAACTAACGGCAGTCGCAGACGGTCACATACTGACGCGCAAAAAAAATAAACTCGCAAGGCTGTCGGCAGAAATTAGATTATCAAGAGGATTTCGCAGACTTGAATAAGTTACAATTGAGAAATTAGATTGCCAGATTTTTCGATGCCTGACACCGAAGAAAATCACGGATGTATGGCTGTCCTACAGAGAGCGTGAGAAAATAGAAAGGTTAGCAGACATGGCTCCTGTACCTGTGAAAATGGCAATGTTGCCCAGAGAGATCTGGCCAGAACGATGTGCAACAGCGCCAGGCTGACGCTCATCCTCACAGACGGTGAACCGCTGGCCGATCCAGAAGTTGAGGCAGTCAGCATCTCCACAACTGGCAGGGG